ATGGGGAGATGCTCAGTGGAATGGGGTGATGCTCAGTTGGAAAGGGTGATGCTCAGTAGGAAGGGGGGATGCTCAGTGGGATGGGGGGATGCTCAGTGGGAAGGAATGATCCCCCAAAGCTGGTTGTTGCAGGTTGAATTGTATTACCCCCCAAAATTATATACTGAAGTCCTCATCCCCAGTCTCTGAATGTGCCTAGATTTAGAGATAGGGCTTTTAAAGAGCTAATTAAAGTAAAATGAGGTCAAAAGTAATATGGGTGGACCCTAATCCAATCTGACTGATATCTTTATAAGAAGAGGAAATTCAGACACCAGACATAGACATTCATAAAGGAAAGACCATATGAAGACAGAGGGGAAAGACAGCCATTTACAACCCAAGGGGAGAGGCCTCAGATGAAACCAACCCTCCTGAACCCTGCAGACACCTTGATCTTGGACTAGCCTCCAGAACTGTGAGAAAATAAATTTCTGGTATGTAAACTCCCCCAGTCTGAGGTAGGGTTAGGGCAGCCCCAGGAAATTAATCAACTGGGCTAAACTCTAGTGTTGTTTGTGTGTGTGGGGGGGGGGCTTTTTTTTTTTTTAGATTTATTTATTTATTTTTGAGAGAGAAAGAGAGAGGATGAGCAGAGGGGCAGAGGGAGAGGGAGAGAGAATCTCAAGCAGACTCCGTGCTGAGCATGGAGTCCGATGCGGGGCTCAGACTCACGACCCTGAGATCACGACCTGAGCCGAAACCGAGTCTGACGTTTAACCAACTGCGCCAGCCAGATGCCCCCAAACTCTAGGGGTTTTTCTGCCACTAGCGATCAATGACAGCCGCACCTCTACAGCAGCAGGGACCAGCCCCAGGCATCAGGATGCAGAACACAGCTTCTTGAATGCTCTTACGGAGAAGACAGCGTGGGTATCCTGGCATCAGGGTGGGTGGTGGTACACAGTCCTGGCTTTCTTTTCAATTCAACTTTATATTTTCAAAATTCCATTCAATGTCTGCCTATCTTGTCACTTCTAGCTTGTGCACCTGGAAAAGTGCCTGGAAAGAGTGGCACTTAAAAATCTGTTGAGTGATTGAATGAAATTTAATACGGAAAAACAGTTTCCATCTCCCCTGCCCGAATCTCTAAGTAAAAACCATGCTCTGTATCCTGTGGCCTGGTGACTACTGAGACACTCCATATATTCACTCAGCTCGTGGCCATTAATGTTGCGGCTGTCGAGCGCTGTGCACTCAGGAGTACCCAACACCCTCTAGGAGGGAAGCAGGGGGCGGGTGGGAGAGCCTGGAGTGTCAGGGTATCCGGCCGGTTCAACTGCTTCTTAGCTCTGTGATGTGGGGAGCCCTCTACTCTCTGGTCTTAGCTTCTTCAATAGGAAAACGGAAATGAAAACTCCAGCATGAGTGTTTCTTGGGGCTGCATGGAAATCAAATGAGCTCACTGATGTGAAGCCGCTTTGAAATACCGTAAAGAGCTGTGCGCATGGAGATGCACTGTAGCGGGTTCGGGGTTGGTTAAGCATCTGACTCTTGATTTCGGCTCAGGCATGATCTCAGGGTTGTGAGATCGAGCCCTGCGTCAGGCTCTGCACTGCATGTGGAGCCTGCTTAAGATTCTCTCTCTCCTTCTCCTCTGCCCCTCCCCACTTGCTCTCTCTCTCTCTCTCTCAAGAAAAAGACTGTCTTGTTCATTGCTGCATTCCTAGTGCCCAGACCATGGCAGGTCCTCAGGGTCAGACTTCGCTATGCTAAACTCAGGGCAAAGACAATAAGCTTGTGGAGTTTTGTAATATAAGTTCCTTAAAACCCCATGTCCCTCTCATCCTGGAAGCTAGCAGCAGGCTTTACTTCGTGGCTTCTGGATCCCACACCACCACGTCGGCATCGGCTCCAGGGATGATGCGGCCCTTGCGGGGATACAGGTTGAGAATCTTTGCTGCATTGGAGCTGGTAACGGCCACAAAACGGTTCTCATCCATCTTTCCTCCAACCTGAAACATTGTAGGAGTGTCAAGTCAACCAAACTCCGCGTGTGCCTCAAACCCCTGGTCACCCTTGCCTCGGGCCTGTGGCCTTTTAGTTGGTCAGGTCAGTGGTGCCTAGAAGGACAATGATGTGGGCATGATGTCTAACAAGCCAACCTGGTTGGCTTGGTCCCCAGCCCTTGCTCATTCCTTACTCCTTCATCCAGCAACAATGGTGAGTGGGCGCTTTGCAAAAGGCTGTCTACCCAGTGGAAATCTACCTCCTGTTTGTACAACCAGCTCTTCTCATATGCTCACTACGGATGGGTCGGTAGCCTCCCTTCATCCACAAAGGGACATATATTCTCTTCTCTTCAAAAACATCTTCCTGCCTCACCCAGCAGGGAGAGAACCATGGACTCCCTTCAAGGGGGATTCCTCAGCCACTCCTGTGCCCCCCTGAGCTGGTGGCTTAGTCTAGAGGACTTCAGATCTCCTTAGGCTCATACTTTGACCAAAAATACTTATTCTTCATGGGGAGAACAGGTGGTATTCAAATGAAGTCCTAGTCCCTATCTTTTTTGAAAAGCAATTAGACAAAATATATAAAGAGCCTTAAAAATGTCCATATCCTTTGGCTCAGAAATCTGCTTCTAGAAATCTATCCTAAGGAAATAATTAGAAATGCTGACAGTACATATACTCATGAACAAAGAAATTCTCTGCAGCATTATTTGTAAGTGCAAAATTTTGAAACAGCTCGAAGTTCCAAACATCAGGGAAGGATGAACAAATGTGGTACTTCCATTGGAGGAAATGTTATTTAGCTAATCAAAAAGATGTTTTAAAAGAATTTTTACTGATACAGGCAAACACTCAAGATAGTGTTATATGAAAAAAAAAGATGAACCCAGTTATTAAAATAACATGTAGCACATACATAGAACTAGAAAGAAATATATCAAAATATTAATCATTTAATTTCTCAGAATGGAATTATGGGGATTTTTCCCCCTAATACTTCTCTGTATTTTCCAAATTTCTGTAATAGGTCATACTACCTTTTTGTTTGCAGGGGCATGGGGGTGGGGGTGTTGGGGCGGGGAAGACCTTTTTGGTTTTGTTTTTGAGTAAAACAAGGAGCCATTGATGCAGCCCTCAAAAGAGTGAAAACTTGCTAGGACTTGAGCAGGGAGGGGTCCCTGGAACATACCACTCCTCTCTCCCAGATGACGCTCATGCGGTCCTGCACACCACTCACTCCATGCGGGATCTTGGTGAAGTCCTCCTTGCCCATAGCTTTCTGCTTCGTAGTGAAAGGCCGGTGATCTGATGCCACAATGTTCAGAGTATCACTGGATAGAGAAAAGGATGTGACCGGTAAGGGAGGGGGGCCAGGGTCCCAGAGGGTGGGGACAGATGCAGGGGAAAAGTCTTCCCTTGGGACCCAGGCAAAGCTGACCTCTGAAGTATGATCTCTAACAAGTTACCTTTTTTTTTTTTATAAGATTTTATTTATTTGACAGAGAGAGAGAGAGAGAGACAGCGAGAGAGGGAACACAAGCAGGGGGAGTGGGAGAGGGAGAAGCAGACTTCCCGAGGAGCAGGGAGCCCGACGCGGGGCTCGATCCCAGGACCCTGGGATCATGACCTGAACCGAAGGCAGATGCTTAACGACTGAGCCACCCAGGCGCCCCTCTAACAAGTTACTTAATCTGTGTGAACCTCAGTTGACTCATATGCAGAATGGGAATACGGGCTGAGTGTGACACTGCCTGTCAACGTCACAGGAGACACTGATAAGAGCCTTTGGGACGTCAACTTTTTTTTTTTTTTTAGAAGAGTTGACAATATTTAAAATTTTTTTTTTTAAGATTTTATTTATTTGCGAGAGAGAGAATGAGAAACAGAGAGCATGAGAGGGAAGAGGGTCAGAGGGAGAAGCAGACCCCCCGCTGAGCAGGGAGCCCGATGCGGGACTCGATCCCGGGACTCCAGGATCATGACCTGAGCCGAAGGCAGTCGTTTAACCAACTGAGCCACCCAGGCGCCCGGGACGTCAACTTTTAAGAGTGAAGACCGCGGCCAGAGAAAGACTGAACTTAGCATTTTGCTCGTGTGAGGTGGTTGCACTTGCCACAGGCCCAGATGCCAACTTCCTCTCATCTCCTTCCTCAACCCCCACCAGTTCCCGCTGGCGACAAGCATGTGCTGGGCAAAACATTCACAGGTCCAGTGTTAAGCTTTGCTAAATAACTTGCAGCTGGAGCTTTCTTGGATGTGTGGGCTCCAATGGCGCAGAATTGGGGAAAGGAGGTACAAGATGGAAGAGAAGTCTGCCTTCATAACCCAGCCGTGATGCGCAAGTCAACCAGTTCACCACGCCTGCCCTCCGTGAGCATCAGACGGTTACTGAGGCTGGCCTCCATGCAAGGCTGCGGGTGGCTATGGCGCGGTGGGGCTCTCCGGGGGTTCTGGGCTCGCTAGAAACTCAGGACGGTGAGACTGTCGTGCACGAGGCGGCAGACTCTGCCAGATGAGGGCGGCAGAGAGCCGGGCCACGTTCAGAGATCTCTGTAGTAGGCCGAGGGCTCAGAGATGGTGTGGGGCGGAGGAGGAAGGGTGCCCACGTTGCCCAGGCTGGGGCAACCTCAGGAAGAAACACTGTTGGAGGGCAGGCAGAGTCCAGGCTGCAGCATGGGGGTCATGTGGGAGAGGGGGACAACTGCTGGGACCGCACAGCAGGAGCCCTGAGAATCTAATTTGTAGGAGGCGAAAAAGCCTTGGGAGTGCCCGTGGGCTGTGATGGCTGCTCGAGTCAGAAGGGGACTCTGGGAGAAGGCATTCACTGGCTTGGTGACCATATTTGTAAGGTCCTCAGATGATTTGGGGTCAGGCTGCATGTTGGGCTGTCTCTAGCGGGGGCCTGGCAGGGCTCATCAGTCACAGCTGTTGCCAAATGACTAATGTCCTTGGCCAGATCCACAGTGAGATGACTTGTTCTTCCTGAGGCATGGGCTGGTGTCTTCCTTAGCCAAAGCTGCTGCTCTGGGCCTTCTCAGAGACCGCAGGAGGGACTCTCCACACAGCAGACGGTTTGTTCTAGGGTGTCTCAGGGCTGCCCACGTTCCCTGGGCCTGCCGAACCCAACAGAGTTTCACCTTCTTCTCAGGGGTCTTCCAGACGCCCAAGCAGGGATCAGATGAGAAGAGGTGCCTGTCAGAGTCACCAGCGGAGGGTTAGGGACCTCAACTCCCATTCTTCAACCAGGTCTTACTGAGCACCCACCTTCAAAAAAGATTCCCACACAAGTAGGTACCCTGGGGCAAGTGTGAATGATGTGGTCACATTCCAGAAGGTTTTTTTTTTTTTTTTAAGATTTCTTATTTATTTATTTGAGAGAGAGCGAGAGCATGAGCAGGGGTTGGGGGAGGAGCAGCAGAAGGAGAGGGAAGATGATGCAGAGCTGTAACCCAGGACCCTGGGATCATGACCTGAGCCGAAGGCAGATGCTTAACTGACTGAGCCACCCAGGTGCCCCCTCCAAAGGGGCTTCTGAGGTCACCTAGTGCTGCCCTGAATCTAGGAGATAGGACACACCAACCATACTCTGAAGTTTCAGGGGCTCCTGGGTGGCTCAGTCGTTAGGTGTCTGCCTTCGGCTCGGGTCCTGATCCCAGGGTCCTGGGATCGAGCCCCGCATCGGGCTCCTTGTTCATCTGGGAGTCTGCTTCTCCCTCTCCCACTCCCTCTGCTTATGTTCCCTCTCTCACTGTGCCTCTCTCTGTCAAATAAATAAAATCTTTACAAAAAAAACAAACAAACTTTCAAACATGACTGGCTTTGTGAAGTCCTTTAAAATTTTACATATTCAAATGAAAAACTTCTGGCCCCTTTAAGAAATCAGATTTTACATAGAGAATGAACTGATGGTTGCCAGAAGGGAGGGGGTTGGCGGGATGGGCACAATGCATGAAGGGTAGGGGCGGTACGGGCTTCCAGTTCTGGAATGAGTAAGTCACCAGGAAGGAAGGCCCAGCACGGGGCACCTAGTCAGTGGTACTGTGATGGTGGGGTGCATGGTGACAGGTCATAGCTACACTGTGAGCCCAGTGGAAGCCCCAGAGCTGTCGGATCACTGCTATACTCCCGAAACTAATGTCGCATCCTGTGTCAACTGTACTTCAATAAAAAAAGGAAAAAGAAATTAGATTTCAAATAAAAGATAAATCCTCCTATCCACAGATTATGCTTTTTACACTGACATATAAGAAATCATATCCTAAAGTAGATCACGATGAAGCAGCACAGATTCTCTTATAGGAATATGATCATTCGTGTCTGGGTTTTCAATCAGGTATTTTGTATAATATCATTTATCACCAACAGTGCGCCCTAAAGACAAAAAGAAAGTAACCATAAATTCCTGTCAATCACGAGACTGTTAAAACAATGCTCCAAATTCTATAAAATTGCACATTTTTATAATATGCACTGATTTTAAAAAGGGATTGAAACTATTCTCATAATAGTTCATATGAAATTACAATTCGACTTGAGCGAATTTATTTACATAATTTAGATTAAAAATAGGCTAGACATAAAAACTTAT